GGTGGAAGGCTTTCCCGAGGGCCCCGATGCCGGAGCAGATTTCCCGGATGGCGATCTCGTGGTTGGCGTACTGCGGCGTCATCTCCGCCACGTGGTTCTTGAGCACGGTGGCGCCCTGCTCAAGGTTATACTTCATGCAGAAAATAAACCACACCAGTGGTTTCACATGCGCCGTTCTAGGAAATCAAGCATCCTGATATTATATTAGCTCAGTGCACCATTGATGAACGTTATTGCCGCAACTTTGCACCGTCTCGTCCACCGACCTACTATAGGTAGTTAAACAGCCATCTTACTGTGTGAATAGTAGATCCCAATCCGAACTCGACAGAACTTCACCTAGTGTTACCACGCACATCAAGCTGCAACAATCTAAACAACTTGTTCCATTTCTTAGTTTCTATATTGAGGCTTTTGCTTCCATTCCAATCATAGGTTATAGATAGCGGAAGACTCTCGAACTATAATTGCCACCCAAGCTATCAATACCGAAAGTATTAATACCAAACGCGGCTTGAGATTCAAGATTCTTCCTTTTAAAATTATCTATAGATGGTTCTCGCCAGATGTAAGTAGGTGGCGAAAAGACATGAAGTATGTACAGTCTTCTCGCTGAATTTTCCTCGAAATAAGATCTTTTGAAACACAGAATGCTCTGATTAACTAAGGCTCGAAAACTTTAGACAAGTTCATTTTCACTGAAAATTCTACACGATGTATTTCATACGCCGCATCATGCAACACCCTGCAGGTCAATACAACGGTTGTTCGACGCACAGTGATGAATCAAGGCCTAATACAACCGGAGAGAGGCCGGGCATTGCCACGCCGTCTCCCGAGTGCCTGCTACGCGGTCAAACTCCGGCCGTGGCCCACTCAGGCCGACAGACCCCTGATTCCGGCCGAAACGAGATGCCGGTTCATGCATAGCGGGAAGACATGCTAGCTCGATGCAACACCGTGCTGCATGGTATCAGAGTTTACTATAGCCTAGTATCCCATGCCATTCCTTGCTTCGACCCCTCGCTGTCCTCAGGGTTGGGTTCTACGCAGTAGGCTCTAGCTAGAGCCATATTCATTACCTATCAAGAACGGAACTGGGTTAGAAGAAAGTCGAAGATCACTACTTGACCCATGTACGAACAAAAGCGTCTCTTCCCATCAAAATGTATTGCAGAACTGAGTCTGCTACGTTCCAGTTGGACCAAGCAACCGACGGTGATCGAAAGGGGCAAGCAGAGGAGCAGAACGCTATTTGTAGCAAACCTCGATTGTCTGAGTAGCCATTAATAGAGGTGGGATTCTATGATCGAAATATCTTCTTGCTCATAATAACACTATGAAGTGTCACCTTGGCATCACTGTTGAAAGGAAAATGCTGGACAGCTTCGCTGAGGCTGCCGATGAGAGGGACCCACGTTGACGGCCACCCCGACCGTACAAGTATGCAAGTTTCCTAGAGGCCTTCTAGATTGAAGCACAAGCAACATTTTTTTTTTACAGATCCGGACCCAATAGCGCACAGAGTCAGGGGCCATGCGCAAATGCACTCATGCAACAGTGGCAATTGCATATTATTGAGGCGGTCTTGATTGGAGGATTAAGAGGGATCGGGTCGCCTCTCCTGAGGAACCATCACCCAGCACCGCCCAGTCGATGAAGACCGGCTTGGCCTCTTATGTGGTGTTGTGTGAACTCGGTCTGTCCTGACCTACGGATCAAGCACGTGGGCTCGGGGACGGCGAAGTGTTGGGCGGCTCAGCCGAAGTGGGGTCCAATATAAGCGGCGCGGGAACGGCTGGACCTTGAAGAGCCGGATCACAAGTTTTTCAACTGCAGGGTTACGAGCTATCGATTCCGTATCCTCGGGTCACTAAACCTCGAGCGTGACTTCGGAATGTCTCACCATAGCTGAAGATCCGTCAGGCTCGCAAATATTTTGACAATGTTGTGACGTACAGCACTTGCGGCGCATCAGGCGCTGGACTAGAGCGCCGAGATTCTTGTCATCAGGGAGGCAGAAGCTTGGTTCTGTGGCAAGCTTTGCCAACCTTTCACCACTACCATGGAGGACGTTCCTTCAATACCGATCGACAGGTTGTAAGTCTTGGACGCGTCCTGGCATCGGATACCCGACTTGGCGATGAACAGGTTGTGAACCTCTAGAACTTCAGTCCAAATTTTGGTGGTGAAGATAGCTTCATCACGGTCCACGCGATGGAATCCCTCGAGAAATTGACCGAAAACGTGTGTTGAGCACGTGCTGAACTCGCTGGAGTTGTGCACCAAGGGCTGACACGTGCGACATCGCCAAGCACCACAAGAGCATAGGAGGAACATGAGTCGGCCCCAAAAGAGCGGCTCACCCTCACCAGGGCTCTCCGGCTTGCCGCGGCGGGCTAAAGCAAACCGGGCGAAGACTCTCGATCGGGAGACCGAGTGGACTAGAGGAATTCGTGAATCAGCTCACAGTCAGGAGCATTTGTCAAATTGCGAGGCGCCCGAGTCTTCTGGCCACGGTTGGCACCTGTGGTCTTCAGCTAGAAGCATGGACATGTGCGGCGTCAGTGAATATTGGCTCGTAATTCGCCGGCTGGCCTGTCTCTCATCGGAAAGTTGGTGGTGACATTACGGGGCTATACCGCAATGGGGACCGAGCGCCAAGAGCTGCTGGGAAAAGGTTTCGCAACAGACTTTTCGCAACGTGCTGTCGACGCGCATTCCTGGTGGTCGAGACATCGGACCAGCGTTGATCTGGTGGGGGTTGGGCTTGCCGGTGGCTGAGAGAGTTCGAGCGGAAGACTGGAAGCGAAGACCCCTCGTTCGCGTGGATTCCAGAGACGTCTGACTCTTCCCAGTGTCTGTGGAGAAGGCGGACGTCGGTGTCCATGTTGGCAGACCGGAGAGGCAAACCCTTATCGGTAGGTTGGGCGACGGTCGAAGGAGGCGTGCGTGGGGTTATCGTCCATTGGCAACATCGCCTCTGACCAAAAGGCCCGTCAAGAACGCAAGACAGACGAGAAGTTATGCGCAAAGAGACGGCGTAGCAACTGACGAGAAGAACAAGAAGGGTCTAAAGGGCTTGGCATGGTCTTAATATGTTGTTCGCCAAGTTCGACGAGCAGGGGGGTTCAACGACCAAGTCAAACAACTGTAGCAAACAGATGCCACACGTGGAGGGTTGAAGCCCCATGATTCGTCAACTCCAGATCCTCCCCAGATGAGATTCCACGCCCAAATAAAGCTTGCTGGGTGGGCCCAGAGTCTCGCAGACTAAGCTGCGAGCATGCTAGGGATACCGACATCTTGGCACGCTAGCCGTAAACAACATCCTTGATGCATCCCGTTCGGCCTGCCATCGAGGTCCCATCGTCAATCCTGGAGTGATAGAGTCGATGAAGTGGGTGAGAGGGGGGTGTCCATGTACGAAGAGAAACTTAGTCGGCCATTGACTACACATTGAGTCACGCTTGATTGAGGAGGAGGAGAAAGACATCGGAGCATGGGGGGGTGTATCAACAACAATTTGAGTGCTCACTCGGAACCAAGGCTGGTATCTGCTGCAAAGCAGACACCGGTTACTTTCTGTCAGTCAGACTCGCCAAGAGAGCACATAAAAGGTTTATCGTGCGCGCCTTTCCCATCATTCGATGCCTTGCTTGTCCCGTCTTCTCTAGCAAGCACTTCTTCCCCTCCTTTATCGAGACCACAGAATCTGCTCGCCAAGTCACAGCCAAGCGGCAGTCAGCCACAATGGCGCTCGATCAGTACACCTACGTCTTTGCCATTGGCACGTTCTTTGCTATGCTCGATGCATACAACAACGGTGCTAGTAAGTACAGTCCTCCATCGGGCGAAAAGGCGCAGACAAGATAAGCGGTCTACGGCTGCTGATATACTTTGGCGCTTCAAGACATCAGACACTGACTCGGCTCAACTTTCAGACGATGTCGCAAACGCCTGGGCGACCAGTGTATCATCAAGATCAATTACCTACAGACAAGCCATGATCTTCGGTACCATCTTCGAGATGTTGGGCGCCATCACTGTTGGTGCGCGTACGGCCGACACTATCAAGAACGGTATTATCCCCAACAACGTCTTCAACGGCAACCCGGGTGTTCAGATGCTCGCCTTTACCTGCGCCCTGGCCGCCGCTTCTTCCTGGGTCATGTGGTGCACGCGACACTCTGCCCACGTCTCCTCGACATACTCTCTGGTCTCTGCCGTCGCCGGTGTCGGTGTTGCTGTTGCTGGCGCCGACAAGGTTCAGTGGGGCTGGAACGGCGGCAAGGGTCTTGGTGCCATTTTTGCTGGTCTGGGTATGGCGCCCGCTATCTCAGGCTGCTTCGGTGCCATCATCTTCAGTCTCATCAAGTTCGTGGTTCACGTTCGCAAGAACCCCGTGCCCTGGGCCGTTTGGACTTCGCCTTTCTTCTTCCTCATTGCCGGCACTATCTGCACGCTTTCCATTGTCTACAAGGGCTCTCCCAACCTTGGTCTGAGCAAGAAGCCTGCGTGGTACATTGCCGCTGTCACCATGGGAACTGGTGGTGGCCTTTGCCTTCTCGCCGCGCTCTTCTTCGTCCCCTTCGTCCACGCCAAGGTCATCAAGAAGGACTACACCATCAAGTGGTACCACTTCGTCTACGGCCCTCTTCTCTTCAAGCGTCCCGCTCCCGCCGATGCCGAGAAGGCCAAGGTTCCCAACTACGCCGTCGTCCAGGAAGATGAGCACGAACAGACTCTTCCCTCTCACGAGTCTGTGAAGTCTTCCGAGTCTGGCGATGAGCCTCTCAAGGAGACCCACGAGAAGGAGACCCACGTTCCCCAGGAGAGGTCCCTGGCTGCTGCTGAGATTGGCCAGGGCCCTACCTACAAGCAACTCCAGGCTGAGGGCGAGGCCAGGTTGCACGCAAAGATGATGAAGAAGCGTGGTCCTCTCGGCTGGGCCATGCGCACCCTTCGCGACAACCCAATGGGCGCTGGTCAGATCTACGAGTTTCACAACATGAAGATTGCCCTTAAGCGTATTCCCGCCATGATCACTGTTGGTGCTCTCTACGGTCTTCACTACGACATCCACGCTGCCCAGACTGGCGTCGCCGGTACCCCCGAGGGTGAGCGCATGAAGCGCGTGTACGCCAGCGCTAAGAAGTACCCCAATGAGGTCGAACACACCTACTCTTTCGTACAGATCATCACTGCTTGCACTGCTTCTTTCGCGCACGGCGCTAACGATATCGGCAACTCTGTCGGTCCCTGGGCTGTCATTTACTCTGCCTGGAGTACCGGTGACGCTGCCGCCGCCAAGGCCCCTGTCCCTGTCTGGCAGCTTGCTGTTCTCTCCGCCACTATTTCTCTTGGTCTCATCACATATGGCTACAACATCATGAAGGGTGAGTCTCATCTAATTCAAACTCTAGATAGTCGCGGCACTAACAGACAACAGTTATGGGCAACAAGATCACCTACCACTCCCCCAGTCGTGGTTCTTCCATGGAAATGGGCGCTGCCATTACTGTCCTCGTCTTTTCCCAGTACTCTCTACCCGTTTCTACCTCCATGTGCATTACTGGCGCCACGGTCGGTGTCGGTCTGTGCAATGGTACTCTGAAGGCCGTCAACTTCCAGCGTGTTGGTCTCTTGGTCTTCTCTTGGATCATGACAATCCCCGTCGCCGGCACTCTTGGCGGTGTCCTCATGGGCCTTTTTCTTAACGCTCCTCACTTCTAAGCGCTTTCAATTTTACCCTGGTGGGGCTTCCATTTGATACCATCTTCACTAGACACATAATGTACATGAACGAAAAAGGGGCTAGGCACGGCATATAAATAGAGGCGGGTGGCATGTCAGTAGCATCAATACCACAGTTTTGACAATTATAATCTTTTGCAATCCGGCCAAGATCTTGGCGCAGTCTGGAAGTAACTGAGTGACATATGTGACAGCGCAGTCTCGATGAAGAGCGTTTGAAAAAGAATCCCACCAGCGCCGGAGCGGGCGCCCTCTGCGGCCCGTCCCACTCTTCAAGAGCCAAGCTGGGCATGTGACGTGTTCATACGAGAAGATATTAGTGATGTAGCCTCGATCTTCGGGGATTTCTTGGCAAAAGCAAGCTATCACCGTGTGGTAGATCATGATATCTCCGGGGACGATGCATGGGATTAGCAAAGATGCGGCACAAGGTACAGTAAGTCTATCGAACTGAACAGGTTTTCAATCTATCCCCAACAAACTTGGCAAAACCTAAAATCAGCTCGTTGAAACAGAGGACAAGACATGAGTAGCTTCTCATCTCGTGATTGGGTGCTGGAATTGAAGTTGTCAAGACGTCGTGGGGTAGCGCCAAGCTTTTGTTGTGGCTATGCAAGCGTGGCATCGCCCATCACCTCAATTCCCCATGAGGATGCCAAGATTGCACATTCCCACAGTAAGAGCAAGCCTTGAAGAGGGAGGTAGCATGGTAATTGAAGTCGGCAATTGATCGCGTGATCAACAGTGATGCTTCGGCTTGGCGCTCTGCAAAAGCTGTACCTAGTAATCACCTACTCTTCATACCTGAGTCTTATCTGGGGATCCTGATGGGCAGGACAAACGAGGTACGGAGCTCATGTGATTAATTCACTCATACCTAGATCGTCCACTTGCACTGTCGTGTTTGACAAACCAGAAGTGTGGCGTGATGAGGACCCCGAAGACCGTTTTCGATTTGCTGTCCAATGTACCTCAAGATGTGTAGTCAAACAAGCCAAGTCAGCGCCAAGGGGAATATCTATCCACATAGAGACCGAAGATCGGGCCTTTGTATGGAAAAGGGCTGTATTATTCTTGCCCGACCCTAGACTTTATCAGCAAAGTCTGAGGGTGTAACGGAGAATAAGACCCTCGTTGCGAGCGGAGTCAACTGCTTGACCAACTGCACTCAAATGAAGTTCTTGCCGTTCAATGATTTCCATACAACTCTCACCTCATGATTCATCGAGTATTATACACAGATGCCTTGTCACATGAACCTTGGGTTCTAGTATCGTTGGGTGTCAGACTATGAAGCAGTGGAAAGTCTCTTGCTTCTCTCGTTGAATGAAGTTGAATGCAATTGACTGAGGTCACCTCGGTCTTAAGTATGGAATGATAATGTAAAATCAAGTTCTCAGACCAGCTCAATACATTCTGAATATTTTTGCCCCCCAATAACCCACCAGTGACAGAACGTGGAAAAGCCTCGTCCTTCTTGCCAACACCGATATGACGTTTCAGAAGATGAAATATAATTTTCCCGATATCATTGTATTTATTCTTCCCTGTGTTTTTGCGTATAGCCTCTACTAAGGCTAGATGTGTGCCTTGTCTATGCAGAATCTAGATCAAGCATAGAATGTGGGCCGCGGACCAGGCGGCCCGTAACAAAAATCATCGAAATCGTTGACTGCTCGACTTTGCAACCCTGAACAGCTACGAGAAAAGCGTTCCCTCTCGATCCTCGATTAAGTTTTGCTAAATTATTGCCTACCTTATTTGAGGGCGTGCATGCGCTCATCTCGAGGACTATCATCGTATAGCAGCGTAAGATAAGGTAGCTCACTGGCGTGAGTTGTCTACGTAAAACTCATCCAATACATTTCATTTATAGTTCATACTTCATATAGAAATACGACACATTATTTGCTTAATATGACCAACTTGCTGAGACCATCGCGGAGCACGCATCTTGCTATGTGTTGGTATAGGAGCAAGGACCTTTCATTTGGCCGAGCCTGTGCAGTTGCCGAATGAAGGCCGAAGCTAAGACCATGTTACCAAGGGGCTTTTCACTGAGTAATTGATAGCAACGAAGGTCAGACTTGGCACAATAGAATAAGGTCGAAGAGCTCGGTCATTCTTGGCCAT